CGAGACTGCGACATTCCGCTGCACACCGTCGAGGAGACCTTTCGGTACATTCGCGACAACCACCCCGACATTGACTACATCCTCTGGACGGGCGACATTCCGCCGCATGACATCTGGAGTCAGACGAGAGACAGTCAGCTGGAGCTGATCAATGTCGTTGGCAGTCTACTCGACCAGTACTTTGGCCACATTCCCATCTNCGCATGACATCTGGAGTCAGACGAGAGACAGTCAGCTGGAGCTGATCAATGTCGTTGGCAGTCTACTCGACCAGTACTTTGGCCACATTCCCATCTACCCGGTGGTGGGCAATCATGAGAGCTTGCCGATGAACAGGTAATTAGCTTTTTTTCTTCGAATTCAAATCGCTAATCACACAGTACATTATCACACAGTTTTCCACAGCCAACGGCGGAGATTGAGAACAAGTACACCAAAAGTTGGCTGTACGACAAGCTTTCCGAGTCCTGGCTACGATGGCTTCCACTGGAGACGCAGGCGACCATTGAAAAGTAAGGCTGATCAAAGTTTTTACAAATGTCATTATAATCAATGCTGTTTTGTTGTTATTAGAGGTGCATTCTTTGCTGCTCGCCCAAAGTCAGGCTTGAAAATCATCTCCTTGAACACCAACTTTTGCAACAACCAAAACTGGTGGATTCTCCTCAACTCTACTGACCCTGGTGACCAGCTGCAGTGGCTGATCAAGCAGCTCACTGAATCGGAGGAACTTGGTGAAATGGTAATACAAACTATTTAATCAATTTTATCAGAAACAGCTTACAAATGGTTTCCCCATTCAGGTACAAATCCTCGGTCACGTCCCCCCGGGCAGCAGTGACTGCATTCAAATGTGGAGCCGCAACTACAACAGCATCATCAACCGCTTTGCGCACATAATCAAGGGCCAGTTTTTCGGGCACACGCACAATGACGAGTTTGAAATCTTCTACGAGGACGTCACGCCGAGAACTGACCAGACGTTCTTCTACGATAAGACGTACAAGGCAACCAATGTCGCCTACATTGGCCCCTCCATCACCACCTTTGGCAACGTCAACCCAGGATATCGAATCTACACCGTCGACCCGTACAGCTTTGACCTGCTCGACCATGAGACCTTCTTCCTCAATCTGACTGCCGCCAATGGCCATCGAAACTCGCAGCAGCTGCAATTTGAAAAGTCCTACTCGGCAAAGAAGGCCTACGGTCTGAAGAACCTTTCCGCGGCGGAGTGGCACAAGTTGGTGATGCGAATGCGGACGCCTCGTTCGAGTGAGGACCGCGTCAACGGGGCAGTGCAGACGGCGGAGAGACTCTTTCAGCAGTTCTACCGCTACTTCTACAACCGTAGCGACAATGTGGGCGACAACCGGTGCGACGATGAGTCCTGCAAGTACGAGATTCTCTGCCGTCTGGTGACCGCCCTCTCACAGGACACCTCCATTTGCCGGCACTTTCTCATGTGAACAACTCAACTGAACTGGGAGATAAACAAACACTGTTTTCCGATCACAAGACTCACACTCACACAACCACCCATCTACTCAACCTGTTGCTCGAGTGCCAAAAGCAAATCAATCAAATCAGGTTAGCATAAACCAATCTCTTGCAGTCGACGCCAGCTGCTGTGTTCACCCGGCTGCCTGCTGATTCTTCTTTCCCTCCCTCCCTCTTTTGCTCATTCTTTTTCTTGGTATCAACACTTCTGTCTTTCTCACGCTCAACACTGTCGCCAAATCACTATTTCCACTAAAGCATAAATGTAATCTTAAATGTAATTATCAATTATTGAAATAGCACTAAACAACAAAACAAAGGTATCACGTGGACGGTTTCGATAAGNTCACCCGGCTGCCTGCTGATTCTTCTTTCCCTCCCTCCCTCTTTTGCTCATTCTTTTTCTTGGTATCAACACTTCTGTCTTTCTCACGCTCAACACTGTCGCCAAATCACTATTTCCACTAAAGCATAAATGTAATCTCAAATGTAATTATCAATTATTGAAATAGCACTAAACAACAAAACAAAGGTATCACGTGGACGGTTTCGATAAACAGCGAAATGTGCAGCTCACCGGATGAGCTGAGTGTTTAGCCACCGCACCAGGAAGAGGTGACAGTGAGAGTGCACGTTTGACAGTGCAGTGTTGCTGCCGTCAATTAGGAAGTTGCAAATTAGCCAGAAGTGACACGCATCGATGGCCACCAAAAGCGAGCCCACCAAACCAGAAGTGATTGACACTCACAGGCGGTGAACGAACGCTTTTGAACAGTCGAAAACAGGAGAAACAAAAAAAGTAGTTGTTGTCCTCTGTGTGAATAGTCGATAATCAGTGATCAGTAGTTGGTAAACGCATTGATCTCTACAGAAAAAAGTGTTTTATATAAGACAGTATTAGCCTACTCTTCAGTCACTGAAACCAACGTTTTTTCAAAGTGCCCAATCTCAGCTGCAATGTCTTGTTGACAGTTATTCAAAACAGCACAGCTGACATGTTTTATGGTGAGCAGAGAAACGAATAAAAAAGTACATGCAGTATGCTAAACAGTGTCAGTATATGTCTGTCCTTGCGAATAGATGAGACAGACTGGGAAAGGGAAAACGATAGAGAGAAAGAGAGAGAGAGAGAGACATTGTGAGAGAAGGCGCCAAAATGTGCACGAGACACATGACACTACGTCACTGCAGATGAATAGAGTGAGAGAGAGAAAAGAGAGGTCAGGCAGTGTACGACAGTCGAGGCACCACAACCACCACTATCACCACTACTCTGACCGCCATTCATTTTGCGATACATCGAACCAGAGTGCACTTCCATTGTGGTGCCTTCAGTGACAGTGTTCAGTGATCAGTGACTTTGTTCAGCCATTCAGCCAGCAGAAACAACAGTCAGCCATCAGCCATCAGCGTCAGTCAGTATGTCCGACAACGATGTAAAGGCCCGAATGACCGCCAAGCGGTTGGAGATTCAGCAGGGCAAGTTCTTTGCGGGAATTTCACCCAATGTTGATCCCAACAGTCCGCCCTCGTGGTACGACCCAGTAGTGTTCAAGCACGCTCAGAAACTCTTCAAAACGTACGCAGTCATGTAAGTACTCTTTTTCA